TTCCTCCTCGTCCTCCTCCTCCTCCTTCTCTTCCTCCTTCTCCTCCTTTCCTTCCCCCCCTTCCCCCTCCCCCCTCCTCCGTCTTCTCGCTCAGCTCTGCGCGTGTCGAGGTGGCGCAGGTCGCTCGATCATCGATTATTCCGGGCTCAATGATCCGTGCATGCGCGCATGCAGGCATGTCAAATGTGATGCGAGCTTGTCGATTAGACCCCACTGGCCAGTGCAGTTAGCTATAGCCAGTCAGGAATACCGAGTGAAGCATCTAGTGTACACTGTCGCTCCTTCGCGTTCGATTTCCCCCCCGTTCGGCCCTCGCCCCGCGCCGCCTGATTGGGGCCCTGTTCATGGGCTGGTCGAGCGTGGCGTTGAAATGGCGGGGGGCGAGAAGGCCGATCCAGGGGTCACCTGCTCAGCGCCAGCTGGGGCAAGTTTGCCCAGATCGCTGCGCGGCATATCAGGATGCGCACTGGGGGCGCGACAGATAACTTCGGCAGTTTCTGGCGCCGAGTTGCACTGCGCTGGGTCGATGTTGAATATCCCGTGCCAGATGAAAGCGAAAACTGTTTAATAGCTGATGGGTGGCAGTGGCTTCGGAACGGAGTCCAGCACCTAGGACAGTTAGCAGCCCTAGATGATATGACTGATCAAACCCAGGGCGCTACGCTTGCCGAGTTAGCTGTTTTTCGGGACCACGATTACCCAGGGCTCGGTCTGAGCGCCAGGTTAGATAACTCCGTCAAGCAAGCGCGCAGGACGTTGTGTTCGGAGTTTTGTTAAGAAGAGGTTGAGCAGTTTATCGAAGAGATTGCTGATGATGTCTCCGTTGCAGTAAAAGGTGTTTCGAAAGAAGTGCAAGCTGGTTGGAGCGATTGGTGCAAGATCGCCAGCGCGGGGGAGCGCGGGGCCGTCGCAGGGCCACGAAAGTTCGGAGTGTTGTTACGCCCGCGTTCGTGCATGATCCGCAAGGCCCCAGCGCTGACCCTCCGTCTGCGAGCGCAGCATGAGCTGCACTCGCATTCGAAGCTATGGCGGGCCGCCGCCTCCCCACCTGTTGCCTGGTGGATCCCCGATCGGTCCAGCTTTCCCAGGGCGGGCCCTGGGGGGGTGCGAAAAGTTATTCTCGGAAGCCGGGCAAGGGCCGCTAAAACCGTGGCTGCTAGAATCGATCTCCGGGAAGTTGTCTTCATCCTGCCGGGAAGAAGCCCGTTGACTGTTTCGCGTGCCGCGCCTCATTCCGGGAAGTTGTTCTTTCCTTCCGGGAGGGCCGTTTTAGCAGCCATGGTTTTAGCAGCCCTCGCCCAGCTTCCTATATTCAGAGTTTTCCGGAGTCGACTGCCACGTCCTTGGATCAGTTTCATCCAAGGCATTTCCTGTTGCTTGATGATGATGGCTTGCACTTGCCAGCTGGCTTGCGGCAGCGCTGCGAGGCGATGGGCCTCTTGCCCAAACAACTTCTATATGTACTAATGCCCATGCTGCCGAAGCCATCCACTGGATATAGGCTAATAGTGCTCTACAGCGGTACGTGCTGCATCTGGCAGAGGCTGCGGCGGCCTTTGCTAAGATCACTCGTGGAGGAGGTGGGGCTTGGGCACTGGGGTGCTAGTCGTGGGAGGAGTTCTGTAGACTGTGCCTGGGCGCAAGCGGCGCGTGCAGAGGCTGATGTTGCCTCGAACCGCTTCAATGTGCTCATTATCGCCGACTACTCCAAATATTATGAGACAGCCCCGCTAATCGAACTTCGGGACAAGTTTTTTGAATTTAAAGTGCCCACTGCCTTGTTGAAACCCGTTTTCAATGCATGGGGGGGGGGGTCCTCGAGTGCTGCGCCTCAGACAGCACCGCCCAGAAGGGGCCGCGCATGCGAATTTCGGGTTTGCCAGCAGGCGATTGCTTCAATGATGCCAGCATCATAGTGCCTGATTCGAGCTCTGCGCGTTTCACTCTGACGCTGGGTGGTTGGATTGTCAGGTGGTTGCGTTCTCTTCTTCTTCTTCTTCTTCTTCTTCTTCTTCTTAAAAAATAGTGCATGCTGTCAAGGCGTTTGATGAGTTTGTTGTCAGTCAGCCTCCCCTCGCTCGTTTCACACCGTACATCGGTGATTCGGGGATTCAGATCTCCAGCTCCCAGAGACAGAGTGCTGTGCAGCTTGCGGTCTGGGCGGGCCGCGCATTTTATCGCGCGGGTGAGCAGATGAATGCAGCAATAAATGGTGAAGTTTCAGTCGTTGCCAGCGAGGTGTCACTTGCACGTGAAGTTGCGTGCAGCCTTGGGCTTAAGCCCAAGGTTGCAAAACAATCGGTCACATATTTCGGTGTTGACGACGGTGCAGGTGCCAAGCGTTCCGCTGCGTGTGCGCGTGTCAAACGGCGGCCCCGTCTGTGGGGCATGAACGTGCGAGTTAAAAATGTTGGCAGGTTTAAATCCAGAGCCCCCAATAAGGAGGCCAAGAAGGGTCTCTCTCAGGTCCTTCGCACGGGTCTTGCGCCAGCTTCGTCTTATGGTTCCGAGGTTCTCGGTTTCTCGGAGGCTGAGCTAAATGCTGTGCGAAGGGCCCAAGCTCGCAGGATGCCGCCGTCTCGTGGGGGGACCAGTGCGACGGCAAAACTTGTTTTGTACGGTGAGTGGGACACTCGGGCAGCAGTTGGTCCAGCTCTGCAGTGGTGTCGCATGCTCTGGAATGCCCAGGTCAATCCCGCTCGTTCCCTGATCCCTCTCCAGGAGTTGCTCCAGCTCTGGGAGCAGGCTAAGGCCAGCGATGCTGGGGGTTGGAAATCCAGCCGTGGCCCGCTTGCTCGTGCGACCTTGTCGGCGCGACGTGCTGGATGGAAAGTGGTGTCAGGAACACAGTGGATCGACCATTGGGGCTGCTCGGTTGATATAAGCAAGACCCCACCTCGCCTCCTCCTTGATCTTCTCAGAGAGGGTCTCCAGCGAGAGGCGGAGTTTCTTTTTTTTCGAACAAGCTTGGGCACGCGCACGGTGCGCGAGGTACCTTCGACTTTGTTCGTAATTGCATGTGCGCGCGCAATAAGAAGCACACTCGCCAGCAGCAGTTCCTTCTTTTGTCACGCGCCACGGATGCGATTTGGACCGAGGCGCGCGCGTGCGATGCGGGATACCTCGCTGACGGCATGTGCGCGCTTGGTCCGCGTAACACGTTGCATCATAGGCTTTGCACCTGCACGCGCCCTGAGGTTGTGGAGGCCCGACGGTCCCCTGACATTCCGTCGGAAATGTTTGAGGGGGGGGCGCGCAATGATGACCCTGCTTTCACTCGTGGCTTGCTTATTTTCCTTAACAGTGATGCTCCCCCCCCGCCTCCCATGCAACTGTGAGATCCTAGACGGCGCAAGACGTGCTTTGAAGATGCAGCCTGAGGATCTTGCAAAGCTTGCAGGAGACGTGGTGGAGCTTGAGATTGCGTCCGGCGGCAGCTGCACGAAGCAGGCCCTCCGCTGTCTTCATCGTGCTTCGTGGGCGAT